CAGAGATTTATTGAATTTAATTTGTTCGGCTCTTATTTTGATAATATCTAGATCTTAGTACATTCTTCATCTGTTTAATGTTTATTCCTGGATAGTCTATGAATTTCATTTTCCTTGGTCTTTTAATACCATCCTTATGATTCTTCTTAGATTGATTAGTGTTGGTGTGGTGAGTTCTCTTTGCCATTTAATTATTGAGGGTTAAAAAATTTTATTAAAAATTTTAATTTAAAAAAGTGTCGGGCATTTTATCTAACACAACTTTATCATTCCTTTGAATTGTGCATCCAATTGTTCTAAGTAATTTGATTACTCTAGCTCTTGATAAACCAAATCTTGGTATTTTATTAAAATCCAATCTATAATCTACTGCCATAAATAGTATGATATAAAACTTAATCAATAATCTGTCTTTAGCGATGTGGGTCAGTTTATTCCTAACTACATCACCTTTAATATTTTCAAAAAAGAAATTATACCTCTCAGGAATGTCATTCTTAAATACCTGTTTAAGATCTAAAATTCTATACAAACAATCTAAAACTGCTAATAAAAACATGTCATTAATCTCAATTAATTCAAAATACTTATCTAAATCTTCTTTTTTTATTTCAATAAGATTAAATTTCATAATCTCATCACTATTAAACATAAGTTTAAGATTGTATGCATCAGCTGGTGTTTTAGCATTTGAATTGAATTCTGGAAGTAACTGATTCATAGAAGCAAACTTGATTGTTTGATATTTGTATGTTTTAGTAATGTCTCTTTTCTTAAGCCAGTCTTTACTCTTTTTATCTCCAAAATCTTTAATAAAATCATCAAACTTGACTTCATCTTTAACAACATCTGGTTTCTCATAAATCAATTCCATTTTAAACAGTCTTGTTTCTACTAAATCAGACTTTTTAAAAATTTGATTACTATCACTTTTAACATATGCAAAGTTGACTGGTGAATTATTCTCTTGTCCTTTATAAACTAATTCTCCATCACTTACTGTTAAAATTGTTCTGTTATTAACCTTGTTAATCTTTAATGGTTTATCTTTACTGTAATTTTCTAACAAAAAATAATTCATAGAAAAGACTTTAAAAATTTTTTAATTAATTAAAATTTAATCTTAACAAATCATTTTATTTAAAAAGGTTCTCTTATATAATTTCTATGTAAATAAATAGAAATGATTAGAGATAAAATAATTGAAACTAACCAACCATTTACAGTTCTTTTACTCCTTCTTGTCTCTTCATATTTAAGAAATGTTTTCATTATTTTCTCTACCTTTTGAACATCTGTTAATCTACTGTCTAAAGGTGTTGTAATTGTAACTAAACTTTCTTTATTTTTCTTACATTCAATTATTTTGTTGTACAAATCAGAGGTTCCAATTGGAGGAACTATATTTATGTCTAACTCCTTTATTAAGTTGAGATCTACAGCATATCTTATTACTTTCTGTATATCATTTTGTTGTAGTTGTTTAGTTCCATAATTTTTGTAAATGTATTCTTGTAAATCTTGTTCTTTGTTCATTAATTTGTGGTTCTAAAAAAATTTATTTGTTAGATTTTTTGATTAGAAAATCTAATCTCCTTTTTTACAAAAAATTAATCAAAAACTTACCCCTTTAATGAAAATATGGTGGACCAATCAAAAAATCAACATACCTGCATTATTATTAGCAACACCTGGATTTATTTGTGGTATTGTTTATGTATTCGGCTTAACATTAAATAATGTTGATAATTGTGACAAACTAAATAACTCTTACTTTTATGGTTCTTTGTTACTTGGTTATTTTATATCAATTTGGGAAAGTGGAGAATTTAAATATA